ATATATATATATATATATATATATATAAATGAAATAATAATAAAAACGAAAGAATATTAATCTACAACCCAGTGTGTCTGAAGATTTTAATTTTTTAATATTTTTTATTGTTCAATATATATATATAAAAGGCAGGATGTGTGTGTGTGTGTGTGTGTGTGTGTGTGTGTGTAACGAATACACGGCCGCAATTTTCAACGGATTTGCACCAAAATTTACATGCACATGCTTCGAGTTAGCGAAAAGACCAAGACCGACATTGCATTTCCCAACTCCCATCGATAGTGGAAATAATCGATTTTTCATGCTTCTATGGCAGTTTTCATGTAGTTTGCGGCCATTTTCTACTGGCCAGAGTGAGAGCCTATAGCTGGCTGCCACGAATAGGCAGGAAGATTCTATTGGCCAGCGTGAGAGACCCAACAGCTGACTGACACGAATGTTAACTAGCATGCAAAAAAAAAAAAAAAAACGATAGCTGCATTCGTCACAAGTGGGAAAAATTTAAATATGCATGGCACTTTACACCAATTGGCTCATTCGCTTGCTTAAACTCAACGTTGATTCTGATTCCGCAGAACTGGGTTGGGTGTGAAAAAGTATTTAACATTCTTTTTTCATTAAGTTTTTTCCAGTTACGAATCCTCTTTTAAAGTTGATCGTTTTGTGTTCATTTTGTTTAGTTTATTTTTTCGTAACAGATTTAATGTTTAGTACAGAGCTTAGAAAAAAATCGCAGTGTGAGATAGGCAAGAAGTAAGGCATGTAGCAACATCAGCACAGCAAAGGGCACTCCTTTAAAGGCAAGGAAGGACAAAAATATTTTTTTAGTCAAGTGATAGCGATTGTTGTACGAGTCGTACGATTTTTGAATCAAGCACGGCCAACGCTGCTAATATATATATATATATATATATATATATATATATATATATATATATACACACACACACACATATATATATATATATGTATGTATGTATGTATGTATGTACACTTCAGATCTTTTATTTATTTTGATCATATCCATAATATTTATCTTTAGAAGATTCCGTTCAAGTATGAAACGGACGGTCAAAATTTTTTTGCGATGAATAATGAATTTTAACAAGAATTATTTACATTTTTCTTTTTAAATTTGAATTATAATAATTTAGAAATTTTTTTAACATTTTCAAAATTCTGTCTTACATTGCAGAGGATAGGTGATACATTTATTAAGCAAAAAATAGATTTACTTATAAATACAAAGCCCATTACAATTTAGCGACCCTCAATATTTTTTAAAAGAATTTTTAAATTTTTTTCTTTTTTGTGTGTGTATCAAGGTGCCGATTTCTATAATACGTTCGGCCATACACAACAGGAAATAAAAGCAATACATACAGTAAATTTAAAGCCAACATACCTAAAATTAAATAAAACATTAGATTACTTAGAATATTTTACTAAATGTTTATCATTAATGGGTAGTTAAAGAGTTATATAAAAAAGTGCTCACTTTATAATTCAAGAAATTTTTACAGATATATCCACTGTAGAAAAACAGATAAATTTCTGTCTGTTGGTGAATCTGTCAACACCTAAAACAGTTACCACAGTGTTAAAAAAATGCATTTCTGCAATATTTTAAGTTTAAGGTAAAACCCTCCATACCTCATTTATTCAACCAGTTTGAGGTATTGACCTCCTCTACCGACAAGGCTGAATGCTTTGCTCGGAAATACTCATTTAATTCAACGCTCGACTCCACTGGTGTACCCATACCAGACTTCCCTCCAAGAACTGAGGCCCTATTGAGCGGCTTACACATAACCCCGTCATTGGTACTGGGCATTATCTCCGACTTAGACCCCCACAAGGCTAGTGGTGGAGATGGCATACCAGCCATTGTCTTGAAGAAATGCGCGCCTGAGCTAGCGCCCGCCCTCTCTAAACTGTATAATTACTGCCTCAAGGAATCCGGTTTTCCTGTCTGCTGGAAGTCCTCATCCATTGTTCCTGTGTTTAAGAACTCTGGAGACCCCTCTGACCCCTCTAATTACCGTCCTATTAGTCTCCTACCCCTCTTCGGCAAAGTCTTCAAAGCCCTAATCAATGCCGAAGTGGTTAATCACCATACATCCTATAATCTGCTCTCAGACAAGCAATATGGTTTCCGCTACGCCCATCACTGAAACCGTCTACCAAGCCCTTCAAAATAACGGTGAGGCTCGTGCCGTGGCCCTAGACATATCCAAAGCATTCGATAGGGTTTGGCACGCCGGCCTTCTTCGTAAGCTCCAGGGTTATGGTATTACTAGTCGACTGTTTGATTTAATACAATCATTCCTGTCAAACCGAGAATTGAAGGTCGTTCTCAACGGATTCCCCTCCAGTTCGTATCCCACGAACGCAGGTGTTCCCCAAGGCTCCATCCTTGGCCCCACTCTTTTCTTTATTTTCATCAATGACCTTCCTGACGCCATAGATTCCCAGGTTGGCATCTACGCAAACGACACTACAATTTACTCCTGCCTCAAAAACAAATATAGTGTCGGTGACAAAACTAACCTGGCCGTCCGTCTTGAAATGGACCTCCAATCGGTTGTTAACTGGGGCAAGAATTGGCTGGTCAAATTTAACGCCTCAAAAACTAAACTACTCTCCATTCACCACCATAGAGATCCTTCCCTGCCCCCCATTAAAATGTCTGATAGTCAACTTCCTGAGAGCAACTCCCTGCGTCTGCTCGGTCTCACGCTGACTGCTGACCTGAGATGGAACGAATACATTGAGTCAATTGCTTCTTCCACCGCGAGGAAAGTTGGCTCTCTGTGCCGCGCCAGGAAATTTTTCTCCCCTGAATCGATACTTCAAATATACAAAACAACCATTCGCCCTTGCATGGAGTATTGCTGCCATATATGGGCTGGAGCACCTTCTGCTTACCTCGGAGTTGTTGACAAGATCCAGAGACGGATATGTAATTGGCCCTGATCTGGCGTCTCGTCTGCAGTCACTCTCACAGACGCGACGTCGCCTCTCTCTGTCTTTTCTACAAATACTTCCATGGTAATTGCTCCGATGAGCTGCTTTCACTGGTTCCCAGACTCCATGAATTCAATCGCCCTAACACTATAGAAATTTTTAAATGTAGCCGTCTCTTCTACTCCAATAGCTTCATACCTCGCACCTCTCGCCAGTGAAACACCCTTCCCAATTACTGTTTCCCTGAAAGCTATAATCTCCAACTATTCAAATGTAATGTCAATCGACACCTCTAGTTACCTTGATCTATCCACTATCCTTCTCCTCATCCTTTCTTCTATCACTCCTATCTGCTCTCGCTCCAAATCTTCCGCAACCCCCTGCATCCTAGTGGCTTCACGCCTTGTTTGGGGCGTAATGCTTAAAAAAAAAAAAAAATAAAAATAAAAATAAAATAAAATAGGTTTCAAATTGATTAATTATACTTTAAATCAGCTAATATTTCTCACAATAAGTTTCAGAAAAGTATAATTTTATTTTCAAAAGTTTTTTTTTTAATAAAGAGAATTACATCGTGATCTTGAATGACGAAAAATAGCGCTAAAATCCGCTATTTTAGCAATTTCGAAACGATAACTCTTAGTCAATTTAAATTTAGTTTTGAAATACAAGAATGTATTTTCATTATTGAAAAAACTAAATTAAATCTATTAACTTGAAATCACAAGTAAAATACAAACTTCAAACAAAGAGTTTCATGTTTTTACATTCATTTTAAACATTAGGTATCGCGTTTATATGGAGGTACCTAATATGGCTGTACACCCGTATCCGAGGATGCCCATTACTAAGTCGCCTCGCCAATCCCATTTGTGTTTGTTCAATAGCCACAAAGCCCACCTATGATTTATACTGCAACTATACTGAGCAGAACTTAAAGTTTCTAAGGCAGAGCGCGTTGTCCATCGTGATCAACGGTCTGAAAAGGGGCTGCACGCTCAAACACTCAGTAACGATGACTTGTGACTTCATGCTAGAACATCCATCGACGGTTCCCCAACTTCACTCACAAGGTTTGGGTCAACCCGTGGTATGGCTTTTCGCCTCCTCCAAACCAATAACATCTTGTCACCTTACTGACAAATCGACCATGGCAAGATCCGAACCCGGGTCTCATGGTCAGAACTCATGCACTTGCTCTCTCTCTCTCACACACACACACACACACACACACACACACAAGTTGTTTCAAAAGTCATCTAGGTATTTTTTATACATTTTTCTTTTTCAGAAATTAGATTAACAGTGAAATTACCAGTCTGATGGTGATTTTTCAGAGCGGAGCTTAGATGCAACAAAAGACAAAAGACACCTAGTGAGGATAAAACTCATTATTCAGTCGTAATTCTTCTAACGAGACACGCTTGCTAACCACTACACCACGTCGAGGTGGCCACGTCTTATTATCTTATGTTGTTAATATTCAATCTATGTTCTTAAAATAAAAGAAATAAATGGATGAAAAAAATACCAAGGTGACTTTTGGAACACCCTGTATAGGACCGGGTGGTTTTTGTAAGGTGAGGTGGGGACGCAGAGACAATATTGATCGTTACGCGAATTTTTAAAAAGATGAAAGAAATAGAAATTAAAAAAAAAAAAAAAAAAAAAAAAAAAAAAAAACACGTTAATACTTATTTACCTAACTTGTCGCTGTTGCGTTGATTGTAAGCACGCCGTATTTACATGTATCGAATTAAACGAGATTTGGCGGTGTGAGTCAGGCTGAAGATTAAGGAAGGAGGAAGGAAAAGTGAAAAGAAGAAAGGTTTGAGATGGAGGGAGCGAAAAGACAAATAACGTAGAAGGAAGATGAAAGAGGAAGTAGAAATATAATAAATAGCACAAGTAATGCGAGGAGGAGGAAGAAAAAAGGGCAAAATAGAATATACAGAAAACTAAAAGGAAAAGTAAGATTGGTTAAGTCAGGTAAAATGAATTTAACATTTCAACCTATACCGCGTCATCCAATGTCGAGGTCAGTATATATTAGGTTTGCTCTACTTCGTGTATTGAGCACTTTTTTTTTAGTTATTTTACTTATTCGTATCGGTTTTTTTTTTCCATTGGACTCTGGACTTGGATGTTAGACGATTATTTTCAGTTGAAGTACATGTTCTTTCTTTTTTGTACTTTTTCCCCCTTTGATATTGGTTTGGTCATTTGCAAGATTATTACTAGTATATATATATAATATTATATATATATATATGTGTATATATATATATATATATATATATATAATATTATATATATGTGTGTGTGTGTGTATATGTGTGTATATATATATATATATATATAATATGTGTGTGTGTGTGTGTGTGTGTATATATATGTTGTGTGTATATATATATATATATGTGTAATATATATATATATGTTAATATATATATATATATATATTATATTATACATATATATATATTTTATATATATATATATATATATATATATATACATAATATATATTTTATATATATATATATATATACATATTATTATATTATACATAATATATATTTTATATATATATATATATATATATATATATATATATATTGTGTGTGTGCATGAATGTGTGTTATATCTTCATTCAAGCATGTTTGTTTGAATAATCTAGACGTTATGTCTACTTTTATTCTAATTCTCTCAAATTCGCAGATCAATTTCTTAGTGTTGTTATTAAACTGATTAAGAGAGACGCCGTATTTTGGTATTTATTTTATTTTCACAAGTACTCCAATCTCGTCTAATATAATTTTTAAACTTTTTTTTTTTTACAAAATCGAAATAGTTTTAACATCTGTTACCTCCCCCACTTATTTAATTAATGAAATTTCGTGAAGTTTATTTTTGTTGAACTTAATGTCAATATTAGTTATAAGCAGGAATCATTGAAGAAAATTTAAATCAATTTTTATTTTGTAAAACAAGACTCCTAGTTATCGATAATCTAATTTAAGTATCTGCCTATATTTCTGAGATGAGGTATTATGTACATTATTTACATTATTCGGACTATTGTGCTCATCTTTGTCGCCATATTTATTACAACGTTTCGGCAGTTGTACGCTCCGGCCGTCTTCAGGTGGTTGGAATGTCGAATTGAAACCTTTATTTCGCTCACTGGGGTAGATTGTTCTAGTTCCACATGCCATGTCTAATGGATGTCAATTATCAGTTATCTCTTGTTAATTCCCCTCTCCAAGTTCTCCACTTAACTAGGTATTAAACTCACACGCCTTAGGTCATGTCACTGAGGACACATGGCACAGTGGGTAAAGGCGTTAGTTAGATCCAGTGACAGGACCCAAAGAGTGTGAGTTTAATACCTGGTTAAGGCGGTCAAGAACTTGGAGAGGGGAATTAACAGGAGATAACTGATAACTGACATCCATTAGACATGGCACGTGGAACTAGAAGGAGACTACCCCAGTGCGCGAAATAAAGGGTCCAGTTGGACATTCCAACCACCATTGTTAAGTTACACACAGGCTGTCTCCCACAATTTGCTCGCTCTCCATTGATAATTCCTATCGACAACTTGGACCAGCAAGTCAAGTTTTTCCACACCACATTTGATTATAAAAGGTGCTCCTCGAGTCTAACTTTAAAAGGGCGGTTGTATTTTCCTTGTGTCCTTTACTGCCCCCACAAAGTATGCCAGAAATGGAGGTTACTGAAAATTATTTTGATTTTTAAAAATTCGCTTTATTTAAAATAAGCCTTTTTAAAGAAATTTCAATAAAATTTCATGTAGTATTCGTTTCCAGTCACGCACTATCTATCTCTCTCCATCCGTCTCCAGTCACGCACTATCTATCTCTCTCCATCCGTCTCCAGACACGCACTATCTATCTCTCTCCATCCGTCTCCAGTCACGCACTATCTATCTCTCTCCATCCGTCTCCAGACACGCACTATCTATCTCTCTCCATCCGTCTCCAGACACGCACTATCTATCTCTCTCCATCCGTCTCCAGACACGCACTATCTATCTCTCTCCATCCGTCTCCAGACACGCACTATCTATCTCTCTCCATCCGTCTCCAGTCACGCACTATCTATCTCTCTCCATCCGTCTCCAGACACGCACTATCTATCTCTCTCCATCCGTCTCCAGACACGCACTATCTATCTCTCTCCATCCGTCTCCAGACACGCACTATCTATCTCTCTCCATCCATCTCCAGACACGCACTATCTATCTCTACTCGTCTCCGGACTCTCTATTTCTTTACACTACAGAATAGAGAAAAGTTGTTTGATCTTGTCCAATAGAAAGCCAGACGATGCACGTTCAAGCAGCCTAAGTTTCTGATAACATTAAAGAGCGAGAATAGAAGTGTAATCAAGAAGATCATAGATAACGGTTGTCAATGCATTTATATTTTTGAAGATCAAAGTTGGCTGGAATGTATGGTTTGGTTTACAGCATATCAACCTCAATGGGTTATTTAATACCGACAATATTTACATTGTTGGTAATATTTTTTCCCAAAAATCTATTTCTGGTAACATTTTTCCTTCAAAAAATATCTATTTCTGATAATATTTTTCCTTCACTGATAATGTTTGTTTTTTCTTTTTTCAAAAAATGTATAGTTGGTAATATTTGTTTTTTTTTTTTTTTGTTTTTTTTTTTGCAAAAATGTATTACTGGTAATAATTTTTTTTACAAATTATTTCCGGTATTAAAACTTATTTTTACACTTTCATAATGTTTTGACCCCAGTTTGGGGGGTGGTTAACTATTTACCCATAGATGGGACCCTAACAGGTGCTACCACCCCGGGTCAGGGTGGACCTGGAAACACCAGAAATTAAGAGGTGGTTCCACGCTCCTCAAAATCTCCTGATCAGAGACCTTGCTGTTGGACGTAGTTTATCGTCTTACCCAGGACGCGGAAATCATGGAGCGAAGAATGTTCGACATGCAAGAAAAGAGATTGTTATCATATAGCTTACGGTTCTAGCCAATTCAACTGTGAATTGATGAAACTGCGCTTCAATTCATAATGTCTAGATAACATAGCGAAGAGTTCATCTGAACAATTACCATGGAAGTATTTATAAAAGAAAAAAAATAGGCAGAGGAGCAACTTTACGGCGATGGGATAGTAACTGAAGCCGAGACACCATGCGATGTGAAGACAAATAATATTGCCAATTCTTTGAATTTTATCAAGAATCTCTAAACAGAAGCAAAAATATTCAATATTCTGTAAAACTAAATAAAATTCAGTTTTAAGAACAACTCTAAACTGGGTTGCATTAAAACTAGATTGCACTATCAAGTACAGAAGGTAAACATTGTTTAAAATGAGCAGCTAAAAGACCCGACCATATGTGGCAGCAATACTCAAAGCAAGGACGAATGGTAGACATATAGATATTTTAAGACATGTTTATGTTTATACATTCTTTTTAAAGATACAAATATTTAAGTAAATGCTCTGTTTATAATAAACAGTATTAAACAACATTTACCGGCCTGAATGACAGAGAAATTTTCATGGACAAAGTCCGACAATTATTTGTCCATTTCATAATGTGTGACGTCATTTGTTTACATTTGGATTTACATTGAGCAGATATGAATGTACGTGAGAGAATCATGGAAGATTGTAGTTTAAAAGCAGTAAAATCGACCTTGCTAACCGAACGATCCTTTGTGACCCAATCGGTTAAGGCACGTCAGGCTATATGATGGTTCTGTATAGGATACAGCTTCGATTCCTGTCGGAGGAAGAATATTTTCTATGGAAATTTCTCGGACATTCAGGCCGGTAAATGTTGTTAATACTGTTTATTATAAATAGAGCATTTACTTAAATATTTGTATCTATAAAAAGAATGTATAAACATAAAAATGTCTTAAAATAATTGTCGGACTTCGTCCATTTCATAATGTGTGACATAGATATGTAAGAAAGATTCTTTAAATAAAAGTGCAAACTGCCTTAATCCCACGCTTGCGTGTGAGCGCTTCTGGTTAACTCGTGACTTAGCCTCTTGCTGTTTTTGCCAATTTTCGACCTGTATCACAGATTCGGACAAGCTCGTGACCACACGTGACGTATGTTATTGCTTCCAAAATACTTGAGAGGATAAGCCTTGAGAGATCCTGTTATGAAAGTGTTTTTAAATTCTGCAAAGATATATCCGTAAATACCGGAGGTTCCGAGTCAGTTAGCCAGTCAATGTATATAAACCCTTTCACATTGATGTAGCGTTACAGGATTCCACAAAAAAGTTATTTGGTAGCAAGGACAGTAACGCATTTACAACAAAAAGCAGAGTCGCTGATGTATATTGATACTTCAGATAGTGATGTGGTTTTCGGATGCAGATTTTCAAAGGATTACCTCACCAACATCAAGAGTGACGTGTTGCAATGTAAGCAAAGAATCTCTGGAGATTGTGGGAGTGTGAACACCTAACCGACTGCTCTCCCGCAAAATACAGGGATAACAGAGCGAGGGAAAGAGACGGGTATAACAAAAATAACACTGCATCGGAAACCAAAGCAGCTTGAGAAACAAAATGCCCACAAACCGATTTCATAAGATTTTTTTTTAAGCGTTTCACCCCTAGCAAGGTGAGAAGCCACTAGGACGCAAGGGGTTACAGAAGATTTGGAGCAAGATCAGATAGGAGTGATAGAGGAAAGGATGAGGAGAAGGATAATAGATAGATCAAGACAACTGGAGATATCGATTGACATTACATTTGAATAGTTGAAGATTATAGTTCTCAGGGAAAATGGAATAGGAAAGGGAGTTCCACAGGCGAGAGGTGCGAGGCATGAAGCTATTGGAGTAGAAGAGACGGCTACATTTAAGAATTTCGACAGTGAAAGAGTGAGAGCGGGATGCCAGCCTCGTACGGCGCTTGAACTCATGAAGTCTGGGAACCAGCGAATGCAGCTTCTCAGAGCAATTGCCATGAAAGTATTTGTAAAAAAGACAGTGAGAGACGACGGCACGTCTGTGAGAGAGTGACTGTAGGCGAGATGCCAGAACAGGGCCAATTATATTGCATATCCGCCTCTGGATCTTATCAAGAACCCCGAGGCAAACAGAAGGGGCTCCAGACCATATGGCAGCAATACTCCATGCAGGGGTGAATTGTTGATTTGTAGATCTGGAGGATCGATTCGGGGGGAAAAATTTCCTGGCGCGGCACAGGGAGCCAACTTTCCTTGCGGTGGACGAAGCAATTGACTCAATGTATTTGTTCCATCTCAGGTCAGCAGTCAACGTGAGACCGAGCAGCTGCAGAGAGGTGTTCTCGAGAAGTTGAGCGTCAGACATTCTAATGGAGGGCAGGGAAGGATCTCTGTGGTGATTAATAGAGAGCAGTTTTGTTTTTGAGGAATTACTGTGTCTTGATATTTACCTGATACACTCCACTGTGTTAGGATGCGGCACAACCTCAGTTATTTAATGCAGGGGACCCGAGCGCAAACACTCAGGTCATTGGTCAAAATTTGTCCAGCCTCCGCAGGATCAGGCACAAAGCTTGTCTTAGCTGGTCACAGCTAGAGAAGGACGCGAAATAGATATTACAATCTGGAACGGGACCGAGTGGCAAGATACTGTCTTGCCGACGGCTGTTTTACTTCGGCTTTTATTGGCAAGAGATATCTTACAAATACCCGGATCTTGACCAGCTGCAAAAGCCGGTATCTAGACATACCAAACTGTCCCACTTCTAACTGGAAAAACCCGAATGTAACTGCTGTTGGCAAATATGTCTTCTTACGATCCGAGGCCTCTTTTGCGTCTGTACTGACGCGCATTCGCGACACAACGTAATCGTGTACGAAACATCAATACAATTTTGCACTTGTAAATTCTTCAATACTAACGTAACGTTAAAGAAAAAACGTTTTCTTTTTCATTAACTGAATACTTTTTTTTTTCTTTTGTGAACGTTAGATACAGTTCGTATCTTCAGGTGATGTGCAATGTGCAGAGGGAAAAAATGAAGTCAAACGTCATCGCATACGTCAGTAACACAGAATTTAAAAAGAATAAACTAATTGTTTAGCTCTTTTTTTCTTTAGTTTTTAGAGAAATCTTGTCACTTCCAAGCCAGTGATTACGTGGATAAATTTTTTTTTCTCTAGCTGCTTAATTTAAACAATGTTTACCGATAGTGCAACTCAGCTTTGAGTTGTTCTAAAAACTTAAATAAAATTAAGTCTTGCAGAATATTGAATATTGCTGCCGCATCTGCTCTTGTGCTTCTATATATTCAGAGATTCTTGATAAAATCCAAAGAAGAATCTGCAATATTATTGGTCCTGACCTGGCATCACCCCTTCAGTTTCCCACTGCCGTAAGTTAGCTTCCCTGTGCCTTTTCTGTAATAACTGTCATGGCAATTGCTCTGATGAACTCTCCTCTATGGAATTCATTTTAAATATTCATTGGGGTTTTTATTGTAAATATTGCTATTCTTATTCCCCATCCTCACTGATAAATTGTACAGATGGGAACTAGTTAGAATTACATAGAGACTTGAGGTATTATGGTGACTGTAGTAAGAATGGTAAGTAAGAATGCGTTGTTTTGGTGTAAGGAATACTGTGATATTTGGGTCAGTTATCGTGGCTAGTTTAAGATAAGACAAATTGAAGACCAGCCTTTCCCTCCACAAGTTTTAGCTTTGTGCCACATTTTTGTATTGTAATAAAATAAATATTACCCTCCTCTATAGTACAAAGACTTTATGAATTTAAGCGCAGTACAAGATTGGCGACAAGGTTTCATTACTTTACAGTTGAAATTGTTAGATATAACTGTGGGTTGTATGCTAGCAGTTTCTTCTCTCGCACTTTTCGTTTGTGGAACACCCTCCTGCCTTATGATTTCCCGTCATCTTTGATCTTCAATAATTTAAGTACAATGTCAATCGTTATCCTGTTTTCTTAATTTCTGTTCTTTTATTGTTCGCTCGCTTTAATAGTGTATTTTTTTTCTCGTTCTTTTACACTCGGTAACCCCTTGCATTTTAGTGGCTTTGTTGCCTTGCTTGGGGTGAAATAATTAAAATGATCTTTTCACGCTGTAACCAAAGACGAAATAAGGATCAAAGTAAAGAAAAATGTAGCATTGAATTCGTAAAACGAGGCCAGTTCTCAGAAATAAATAAAATGATCGCGGGAAACGATTGATACGATACTGAAAAAATTGGGTTGGTGGGCCATATCACAATGAAACAGCCAGTCCTGTAATAAGCGGGT